AATACAAAAAATGAGCTGGGCATGGTGGAGGGCACCTGTAATCCCAGCTACTCGGGAAGCTGAGGCAGGAGAATCACTGGAACTCAGGAGGCGGAGGTTGCAGTGAGCCGAGATGGAGCCACTGAACTCCAGCCTGGGCGCAACAGAGTGAGCCTCCATCTTAAATAAATAAATAAATAAAAATATGGGCAGGACTTGGCAACTCAAAGTGTAATCCCAAAACTTTGGGAGTCCAAGGCAGGTGGATCACTTGAGGTCAGGAGTTTGAGACCAGCCTGGCCAACATGGTAAAATCCTGTCTCTACTAAAAACACAAAAAAATTGACTGGGTGTGGTGGCACACTCCTGTAGTCCATCTACTTGGTAGACTGAGGCAGGAGAATTGCTTGAACCCAGGAGGCGGAGGCTGAGGTGAGCTGAGATCACGCTGCTACACTGCAGCCTCGGTGACAGAGCGAGACTTTGTCTCAAAAAAAGAAAAGTAAAAATAATAAAAATATGAAAAGTCTCTACATTCACAAACTTAAATAGACACAAAAGGAATCATATGTATGGCCATAAAGTGACGCACATATGCAGCATCCTTGGATGTGATCATAAGATTGACTTATAAGAACCCAAAGAATTGACAAATACATTAGGAATTAATAATTATGTATCTACCCAACCCCCCTCACCAATCCCAACAATTCCTGAATTGCCAAACCTTACAGTTATCAGGAAGAGATAAGAGATTTCAACCCAAATTCACAATCATACCTCTTGTCCTCCATACTATCCTAGATTTAGAAGCTAGTTAAATTTTTCCTCTACTCCAAGGTGGGAGGGAAAGTAGAGAGCGAAAAGAGATTTTTAGATAGCTTCAAATACATGAAACCTCTAATAGGGAAGCAATTCGTTGTGGGAATTCATTTTATTTTCATGAGTTCTGGGTAAGTGGAGAGACTAGGAGGGAAAAAATCAGGAAGGAAATTTTCACATAGTACTCCACAAAGTTTGAAGGGAATAAAGACACATGAAATATTTCCCTTTCAAATATATATAATATATAATGTATTATCTATATGTATATTTGATAAAGGGATATCAGTATATGTACATATAAACATATATTTATAACCAACAAATATGTATGAACTCATATTTCATTTCTTTTTTTTCAGATGGTGTCTTGCTCTGTCACCCAGACTGGAGTACAGTGGTGAGATCCTGGCTCACTGCAACCTTCACTGCCCCACCAGGTTCAAGTGATTCTCCTGCTTCAGGCTGGCAAGTAGCTGGAATTACAGGCGCGTGCCACCAAGCCTGGCTAATTTGGGGGTTCACCATGTTGACCAAGCTGGTCTCAAACTCCTGACTCAAGTGATCCACCCACCTTGGCCTCCTAAGTGCTGGGATTATAGGCATAAGCCACCGTGGCCAGCCTCATTTATTTTTTATAAGTACAACATGCTAACCAATTGAGCCAACAGAGCCACCTCATTTCTTTTTTAAAGTAAATTTTATTGTGTACATTTTTTTCCTCAACCTCGTGATATTGGGTACACTTAAGGTATACAAGCATGGGATACATATTGATAGTAGAAAGGTTACTAGAGTGAAGTAAATTAATCATCCCACATAGTTATCCCTTTTGTTTCTTTTTGTGGCAAGAGGAGCTAAAATCTGCTCATTTAGCATGAATTCCATATACAGTACAGTTTTGTTATCTATAATCCTTATGTTGTACATTGGATCTCAGGATTTGTTCATCCAACATATCTACTGCTTTGTATCCTCTAACCCATAGCTCCCCATTTCCTCTCCTCTCTATCCATATTTCTTCAGGATATAAACAGAATGAGTGCCACATAGACTAAGCCCATAAACCAACACTGTTTTGGATCTAAACATTTACCCACTGCATTGATCAGACACTCTTTAGGTACATGAGAAAGCAGCAGGAATTGTTCCTCACCCTCCAACATTCCATTAGATGAGCAAAAGATTCCCTATATGTCTATGTCACATTTTTTCTTCAAAGAACAACTACAACATGAAGAGGGTCTTCTTCCTGCTAATGTGTGAAATTCCTCCTAATCAATATACTGTGTGCCCTGAAATGCCAGAAACAGCCAAAGATATTCCTTGTCAAGTATGGACAAGATTGTCCATCTCTCCCTAGACTGCCCATGTGCCCAAGGACAGCACAACTCTCTGGCAGCCATGGGTTAATCCTAAAGACTCCTAGGATCACTGCAAAGTCTGGCTATCTGCAGAGCTCCAAGTATCAGCTCAAAAGCAAGACCCAAGTATTACAGCACACTGTGCCTTAATCCCAAACTGCGTGTCTCTCAAGACTCCTTCTCTACGGCTGGGTGGGTAGGATCTGTAGTCTAGAAGAGTATATCCAGCTCTTGATAAACTGTTGTGGTTTCACTGACTTTCTATGATTTCAGCTATCTAATACTACCGGTGATAAGGGTAGGAGGGAAGGTTGGGGAGAGAATGGAAACAGTTAATCAAAAAATAAAATAATCTTGTGGTGGGTGGACTGGGGGACAGGGTCTGAGATGACATATTATCCTTGTGAAGATTGATAGGTTAGCAGGAAGTCAAACTAACTTCATTTCATAAGGATACAAACTTGCAAGCTTGATTTGTTTTTAATTCCCCTGTCTTTTCAGGCCTCACAGAGACTGTAAGTTCCCTGAACTCCAGAACCAGGTGAGAAAAGATGCAGAAAGTAGTGGAAAAGGGAGAAGCGCCGTGAGGAATTAGAAACCTTGAGAGAGGAATCTCCTTCCCCTCTTTAAAAAGAATGTTAAAACCAAGGGCATTGCCAGATCCCCAGAAAAGGAAGTAGCTAGATACCAAAAAAGCGCTTTTCCCTACCTTCTTGTTGTTTCTACTGTAGCCCAAAGTCGAAATCCCAGGCCTGGAAGTCACGGATAGCAGCATTTTCTCTTTAATGTTAGGGAGCTGAGTGAGTAAGACAGAGAGAGAGAAAAGGAGGGAGTAAGAAAGAGGGGGAGGGAGGAGGAGAGCGAGGGACGGGGGAGAGGGAGGAAAGAGAAAAGGGAGGGAGAGGGAAAAGGGAGGGGGAACAGAAAGTGGGAGAAAAGAAGCCGGAGGGAGAGAGATGAAGGGGGGCTGTGGGCAGAGAATGAGCTCGGGCTGCTCCTTTACGTCACCAGAGAAGTTAACAGAGTCTGAATGAGGCAGAGGCACTTCCACTGGGTCCTAATGCCCAAAATGTTATTTTTGTTTGTTTTTTATAGTCTCAGGAGTTAAAGCCAGAAAGAAGAGTTCTTAGGTCTAACACCTTTCAAATTTATCCCCTTTCCTCTAGAACTTCTGATTCTCATTTAAAGACAATGAGGTTTTCTTTTTTTTCCCACCCTTCGATCTCAGCTGTAAGATTTCAAGCTTGATTTTAAGCTGGGTGCGACGGCTCACGCTTGTAATCCCAGCACTTTGGGAGGCCGAGGCGGGCGAATCACGAGGTCTAGAGATCGGGACCATCCTGGCCAACATGGTGAAAACTCATCTGTACTAATAATACAAAAACTAGCTGGATATAGTGTCATATGCCTGTAGTCCTAGCTACTCAGGAGACAGGCAGGAGAATTACTCGAAGCCAGGAGGCGGAGGTTGCAATGAGCCGAGATTGCACCACTGCACTCCAGACTGGCAACAGAGTGAGACTCCGTCTCAAAAAAGAAAAAAGAAGATTTTAAGCTTGATTTTATTTTATTTATTTTTTTTTTTTTT